CTTGTGATGTTCATGCTTTATCTGAAGCATGCATTTAAACAGATTTACATTTCGCACTGTCTTATTTTTATTTGTTATTAGCGAAGATGTGCTTTGTATATCGCTAAATGCTATACACTCACGTGTTTTGACAGAGTTCAGGTATACAAAAAAGCCTTTGCAGTATAGTCATTTCTTCTCCATGCTGAAAAGCCATAGCTGTGATAATTTGAGCAGGCTTTGTGAATGCTACCGTATAGAAAAGAGAACATAACCACCAATCGACATAAAACCCAAGGGTACGTCAGGCATAATTTGGGGCAAGTGTGTTGACAGACCCTGCTCCTGACTCGGGTCATCTTCTGCCAAAGATACGACAGATCTTCGGCACAAGATTGCAAACGATGGAAACACTTTCTAATGCGAAAGTACAAACAGCTATCGAAACTGATTGAACGAATGAATGTTTGAATAATTATTATATCCATTGATCAAGGCAACGGTGTGCAAGAAGTATGTAGAAACTTTTCATTAAATGACATATTTCGATGCTTCACATTGGAGTCATCATTAAGGTTAAAATATGCGAATGTGAACCAATCAAATTTTATAAGAAACGGTTGTGACATTTCAATAAAAGCATTCTTCACCTTTAGCTTCCATTTATTCTTTCAAATAAGCTTGGCGATAATATTCCAGATGTCACTCAAACTGACCGAGACCTTTGCAATCAATACTTGCAACGATTCCTTGTTTAACAACCTGATGTTCGCTCATTATCAACGGAAGTAATATTCGCATGAGCAAGGGAGTGTCTCAGACAGAAATCATAAGAAAACAATACTTAAAGGTTCTGTCTTCTAATTTCTCAAGGCTGTTACAAGATATTCTGCAACCTTTTAACAAAAAAGGTATTTTACAAAAGAATAGTTTTTCAGATATAGATCTTGTCACAGTCAGTGCAGGGAATAAATGCAATAATTCTTTAACTATTAGCCGTCTTTACAAACTGTTGCTGAGAATAATAGTCCAGGCAACGAAGATATGTAAATTATAGGTAGAACTGATCAGCTTTAGTAAAGCAATTTTCATATTTACGACGATATTAGCCAAATGTAGCTAACAGGAGGATCGTCTTCCGGTGCTTCGGCTGAAAAAGGAACGTCACTTTCCAAAAATGACCAAGTCAAATATTACTATACCGTACTGCGAAGGTCGTACTAATGAAACACCAAGAATGACCACCGAACAGTTAACAGGCTGCTGTCTTTGATGCAAATTAATACGAACTGAAAGATCGATTTAATAAGTGGCTCCATTTCCTTCAAGCAAAGCACATTTCATACATAAAGATATTAAAGAAATGATGGTAGTCTTGCTAGGCAAACGGACTGAGCATAAACCCTAGCTATAACCTGTGAGCTTCCAAAGTGTGAACCAAGATACAGCAAATATCGAATATGCATGTAACACAGATGAGCAAGAAAAAGCTGATATGCGTTCATCTGTGAAATGTTTCTTCTAAGATCCTGTAGTCAGTGTTTATAAGGAAGATGGCTGAAAGTGTGAAATGCAGCAGATATCTGAAATGGAGACGTTTTTTTAATGCGATATCACTATGCTAATGATCTGAAAAGGCAACGCATCTCATATACACACGATATTCATAAGAGTACTACATTTAGTACTTAGATAAGATGTTGTTTTGTTGGCGATATTTAATAAAATTCGTACTGCAGAAATCATAGAAACACCGCCTGTATAATCTAGAGTAAATTTGTAAAAATATTAGTGCAAGACACTGACGAACACAGTTAATTACAGTTAATGATTTTTAATGATTCAGATTCAGCCAGCGAGAGAAGGAATTGTACATTTCTCGTCTCACACTCTCTTTTAAACAGATTTATTCCTTAGACAGTTGTTGTTTATGCATTTATACTCATCGCCGAACATTTCCTCGCATTCCCATGAAAATATGCATCGATCGTCACTCCTGGACTGAACGGTGGAGGTCTCCTCACAGAAGCCGTTGACGCAGTCGTAGCCATCGCCAAATTCCCGAGTACAGTCCAAAGGATCTAAGCATTCGTACTGTGAAGCGATCCCCTGGTTCGTGTCACAGCAGAAGCCTTTGCGACAGGCATATGTTTTCCCAAGGACAGCACAGTCAGCAGATGATTCGCAGGCGTTTCGGGGATATTTACACGGTGAAGTTTTAACGGTCTGTTGCTGATACTCGCAGCACTTTCCGTCACGGCATACAAAACCACCACCATTGGTTTCACAGTCGCTGTTCTGTGAGCAGTATCCAGTCGGGCCACTGCATGCAGAATCACCGTTCTCTTTCACTGGACAACACCAACCATGATCACAAGTGTACTGCTCTCCGTACCGTTTGCATTCGACCCTCCTTTTGCATTTGTTTCTCGGCAGTGGGCAAGAAAACGTCGATTCTTCCGTTGTGCTTTCAGAAAGGTCGTCGCTATCAACCTCGGGAGACAGGCTACAGCATTGTCCTTCAACGCACATAAAGCTGCTTCCGTATGATAAACAGTGTTTCGATATGGTGCATGGCGGATCTGGCATCTTGCATATCTCGAAGAGATTTTCGTCATCTTTTGTCAGCTTCATGTAGTTAGACCTCGATTTGCCTAAGCAGTTTCCTTTAGCACAGAGCGCCGTGCTGGATGGAAGGCAACAGAGACCACGTTCGCATTCATAACTGCTATTCAACGCGAGATGACACTGGCTTTGATTGCAGCACCGCTTCTCTGCCCATGTACCGTCAGAACACAGATGCTGAACTGGGCAGCAAAGTCCGCAGTGACAAATATATTTGCCGAAGCTGAAACAGTGGCTGTCGAGCTCGCACTGACTGGCCGCAGGCTGACCGTCTGGACAGGTACCTTAAAATCAGTAATTGAAATTTTGAAAGACACCATGGCATCAAAAATCGCGATGGCAAAATTAACGCAGTATATATTGCTAGCCACAACTACTCTGCCAGAAGCTTCCATTTCAGTGTATTCCTTCGACCATCGATGAACATAGAAACATTTAGGCTTAATAAGAAGTCTATCATTTGCATGCGATTTTAATCCACATTTGTAAAGGCCAAATTTACTCTATATCAAAAGTTTCATTCACTCTGATTACATATTTTGTATTCTGACGAATTACTTACTTGCACCTTGTTTGTAACTTCAATTCATAAAAGCAAAATATCTGCAGCTTTTACCGACTTAATGGCGGGGCAGTATTCTGACGGCACAGCATATGTGTAAAAATTTTTGATATACTCACATTTAGATAAATCTAGATGGAATAATGATAAAATAAATTAGAACTGATCCTGATTTCATGGCCAGCAACATGGTAAAGAAACAAGAAATGGTGATTTGCGGTGATCATATGATGCACCCCAGATTTATTTGTTTAAAACATTGACTGTTTATTAAAGATATCTAAAGGCAGATAAACATATTGTTTTCATTAATAGCAGAACGGCAAGCAAGAGAAAACTAAATCCTTGATGAACAGAAATCATATACTTCTATCGATTGTGCATCAGATATCATCTGAGAATAAAAAAATCCTATACGGAAACTACACTGCCAGTTTACTGTATGAACCTGCTGTCACTTCTACGGAAATGAGGGTAAGAATAAGGAGGATGGTAACTTAGTCACCCAATCAGCGGGAACGTTTAAACAGATCACGGCTCCATGGTATTGTGACACTGGCTTAACATTTATTAGGATTGGACTACAAGCCTTCTTGGCTAACCGAATGGTCTGAAGCCATACGCACTGCATAAATCTTAAGATACATGATAAATTCCCGAAATATAGAATACTGATGAATGACCCCGATATAAATAATTGTCACAATTTCACAACGATCATATTGTAACAAGTAATCGTCCATAAAGCAAAGCTTGTTTACTTTGGATTGAAAGGCGTAACGAAAACGAGAAGATCACCAGAGTCCACACCACAGAACTGAGGCATTTTTGTACGACGTTTCCATGCGTCTCATTTAAGAACAAAGTTAAGGTCATTGAAACGTAAGCGTAGACATAAGGTTGGTGCGGCAACCGGAAGTGTGTATCGGAGTGTCAAGTCAAATCCGACGC